TATCTTGAAGAAAGGTGCTGGTGATGTGGCAAGCATCCCACAGGGATGGTGCTCCTCTGTGACTGTTGTGACAGCAAAACTGGAGTCCACAGCCCACGGTCAGCGGCTCTTGGCAGCGCAGTTCCAAGCTTCACTGGAGGCAATGCTGTGCTCTTGGTTGTTGGTCTCGCTCCAATTTTTTGAAGATTTTTTTTTTTTAGAGAAACAATAGGAAATATATTCTAGTTGTAGGAGGAAAGATAGAGCTCAGGCCATCTTTTTCTTTACTTCTCCATCTTTCTGACATAAAACTCATTCCTTCTGAGCAAAGTTCCTTATAGTTTTAAAATTAATTTTTAAATACATAGTACATGTACATGGAATAACATTTAAAAGGTATAAATAGACATGCAATAAAACATCACCCTTCCCACTCCTGCACCATTTCAAGCAAATATTATATATGTATTTGTGTGTGTGATTTCTGTACAAAGTAATGGTGTAATGGCATACTTGCATGTACTATGCACATTGTACTTTAACTCTTTTTTTCTTAGTTTTATATGGTAGAGATCATTCCATTTTAGGGTATATAAAGTCATATTCTAATAAAGGTTGCATAGTATTTACAAAGGATAAACTATAGTTTAAACAGTTTGTTGTAGGTAGTATTCAGCTATTTCCAATCTTGCCATTTAAAAAAAATACAGCAATCTACAATTCTTCATTTTTGAAAATACCTTCTACATTTGAAAATATGTCTGTCTAAAGCTTAAATTCCTAGAAGTTCATTTAATATTGCCAAATTGCTTGCTGTAGAGGCTGTACCAATGTATATTCTCATCAATAATTCGTGGGAGTGCCTATAGCTCCATATTTTTGGCCCCGCATCTTCACATTTTTTCCTAGAATTCAGCCTAGTATTATTTCCTTGCATGTTTTTTCATGGTGGCTTGTATTGATGGCAGTAACACGGGAACTTCCTTACAAGTTAACTAATTAAATTCTAAAGCAAACTATCTGGGGAGACGGGGTAGTCCTCTACTTAAGTTATCTAATATCATCTTTGTGTTTATTGGAATAGCTTATTGCAATATATAGTGATTTTATGAAAAGAAAGAGAAAAATTCATCTAATCTAATGGTTTGCATATCACTCCTCAGAATCACATGGGAGGGGAATGGAGGGTTTTAAAAAAATTTATATTTATTTATTTATATATTTTGAGATATGGTCTTACTCTGTTACCCTGGATAGTATGCTATGCTATCATAGCTCACAGCAACCTCAAATTGTAGGCTGGGTGCGGTACTTCACACCTGTAATCCTAGCACTTTGGGAGGCCGAGGAGGGTGGATTGGATTGCTGGAGCTCAGGAGTTCGAGACCAGCTTAAGCAAGAGTGGGACCCCACTACTTCTTTTCTTTAGTGAGACTGGAAAAAAAAAGAAAATAGAAATACTGGCCAGGTGTTGGAGTGGGTGCCTATAGTCCCAGCTACCCAGGAGGCTGAGGAAGGAGGGTTAATTGAGCCCAAGAGTTTGAGGTTGCTGTGAGCTCTGATGATGCCATGGCACTCTGTCCAGGGTGACAGAGTGAGAAGACTATGCTTCAAAAGAAAAAAGCAACTTAAAACTGTTAAGCTCAAGCAATTCTCTTGCCTCAGCCTCCTGAGTAGCTTGGACAACAGGTACCCTCCACAACGCCTGGCTACTTTTTCTATTTTTAAATTTTTTTCAGTAGACAAGGGGGTCTTGTTCCCTCAGCCTCCTGGAGTGTTAGGATTACAGGTATGAGCCACTGTACATGGCCAGAGGTTTTTTTTTTTTAAATGGAGATTTTAGGACCACTCTAGACTTATAAAACTTGAACTCTCAGCTGGGTGCAGTGGCTCACGCCTATAATCCTGGCAGTCTGGGAGGCCAAGGTGGGTGGATTGCCTGAGCTCACAGGTTCTAGACCAGCCTGAGCAAGGGTGAGACCCTGTCTCTAAAAATAGTCAGGCATTGTGGCAGGTGCCGGTAGACCCAGCTACTTGGGACGGCTGAGGCAAGGGAACCGCTTGAGTACAACAGTTTGAGGTTGTACTGTGATGCCAGGGCACTCTACCAAGGGTGACAAAACAAACAAACAAACAAACAAACAATTTGAACTCTCCAAGAGATGGGCCGAGTTCTCATTGGTGATCTTTATACTTACTATCATTTGGAAACAACTGTCCTTAGGCTAGAACAATTTACAGAAAGACAAATACTATTACTAATTTACTTTTAAAAATTAAAAAGTAATCCATTTTTATTGTAAAACATTTTTAAAAGACAGCTAAGCAAAAAGAGAGACTAGTAGTAACATTGATAACTGCTGGATATAAATTTACCTCATTTATATCCCCACAACAATCCTATGAGTTGAATACCATCATTACCATCCTCTCTCATATTTTACAGATAAAGAAACTGAAGGAAAGAAAGTTTACATAATTTTTACAACACGATGTTGTCAATAATCGGTGTTGCCACTATTTAAACTTTTGTGTTTCTAAAGCCTGAAGTTGAATTTCAGAGCATTCAATCTGTGAATTCTAGAATACAAACACTGGGTGTATGTTGTTTGTGCTCTTTTTTTTGAGACAGGATCTTGCTCTCATTCTGTTGCCCAGGTTGGAGTGCAGTAGTGTATCTCATAGCTCACTGTATCCTTGAACTCCTACTCAAGTGATCCTCCTACCTCAGCCTCCCCAGTAGCTGGGACTACAGGTGTGCACCACCCAGTTAATTTTCTTAATTTTTAGTGATGAGAGTATTGATAAATTGCCTAGGCTAGTGTTGAACTCCTGGCCTCAATGTTTTCCTACTTCAGCGTCCTACAGTGCTGAGATTGTAGGTGTGAGCCAATGCACTGGGTGTGTTGGCCCATGAATAGGGTTCTTGTCTTTTTCCTATGTATATGTACTTATGAATCCATCAGACAAACTTCCCTTAGCCTTCAACCCCTTTTTCCTCTTATTATACCTTCAGTAGAATGAGTAATGGATACAAATAAATGGTGGCATTTACTTGTGGATTATAGGTGTGGTGGCTCACACCTATAATCCTCATACTTTGGGAGGCTCAAGTGAGAGGATGACTTGAGGCCAGGAGTTTGAGATCCCATCTCTTCCAAAAAAAAAAAAAAAAGTTAGCTGCACATGGTGGTGTGCACCTGTAGTCCCAGATATGCTGGGAGGCTGAGGTAGGAGGATCTCTTGAGCACAGGAATTTGAGGCTGCAGGGAACTGAGACCTGGCTACTGCACTCCAGCCTGGATGACAGAGTAAGACCCTGTCTCTAATGGGTGATGAAGAAGATGTAGAGAAGGAACCTCAGGCAATATCTGCAAATACTATGTTATTTATACAACTTTTTTGTATCAAAATTGTCTTTTTGTATGATTGTATCAATTTATATTCTTACCAGTTGTATGTGAGTGAAGAGTTTCTTCATTATTCCCTACTTCTGATATCCATTAGGTCCCCAAATGTTGCATATTCTCATTAGATTGTGGAATATTTAGTGCCTTTTTATTTAGCAAAAATTGCTTTTATTAACTGACATCCATACATAGTGCAAATTTTCTCTAGAATGTTGGAGACTTTGCTGTTTACAAGTGTATCAGTGTGAATAGAACATAACCATTCTTGCCTGGAGGATCTGAGCCATGCAGGTCACACTGACACAGGATTTTCAACCCAGTTACAAAGCTTTAGATAAGGAGTTTTCAGACCCAATAGTTCACGTTCATCTTAACTTTGAGGTTTCCAAGGAAGGGGCACCCTGAGTTTACTTCTAAGTTCACGTCAAGTTTGCTGTTAACCTGAGGCTACACACAGCTCTGCTTTGCTTTGAGCCTATCAAAATACTGCTTCTTTTAATTTTTACCCAAATCCTCCTTTTTCCAATAATCCAGTGATGACACTTTTGTTTGGTGATGGGTCCAGGCTCCTCTGAGGTGCAGCAAATTAATAAATCTAACTTTGTGCACTACAGGTTTGTTCCTGGTGTTTTTTACCAGATGGCTGTATCAATCCTAAACTGCAGGCCCTAAATCTGAAAACAAAAGGAAAGTTTTACTCAGTATCTTTCTACAGATTCTTTTTAAAACAAGATGGATTCCTATTTGCTAATTATTAAGTCCTGCCTGATGCTAATCGTCGAGATCATTTTTGCTTTCAGTTCTAACAACATTGCAAGCTAGTCAGAGCAGGCTGTTTTCTCTGCATGGAAAATTATTTCCCCGGATTGTTTTCTGGCTGGTTCGGTTCAAACATCACGTCGTTAGAGAAGTCCTACCTGGCCATCTCTCCTCACACTGCTCCACCCAATCACCCTACCTCATCATCCCATTTTATCTTCCTTATGTATTTATTTATTTACTTAAGACAGAGTCTCACTATGTTACCCAAGAGGGCCGTGGCGTCACAGCTCAAGCAACCTTAAACTCTTGGATTTAAGCGATTCTCTTGCCTTAGCCTCCCAAGTAGCTGGGGCTACAGGCTCCCGCCACAACACCTGGCTATATTTTTGTTGTAGTTGTCATTGTTGTTTGGCAGGCCCAGCCGGGTTCGAACCCGCCAGCTTCGGTGTATGTGGCCGGCGCCCTAGCCGCTAAGCTACAGGCGCCGAGCCTATCTTCCTTATTCTCTGTAATTATCTTATTCCATTATTTATTATTTGTCTATCCTCAAGGAGACATAAGTTCCAGAAAAGAAGATAGCACGACTGCGCTGACAGCTGTGGCACTTCTTGGTGCCCAGAACCCTGCCTGACGATCCTTCGCCGAACATATTCATAAATGGGAAACTACCCGCATCATTCTCCTCCTTCCCCTTTAAGTACCCTCTAACTGGATCCACCCGCGTGACAACGCCGGCGAGAGCGGCCTCGCTATTGGCTAGAGCATTTGCTGTTGCTGCTAGCAACCACTGTTTCCCACCAGTCGTGTCATCGCTCCGCTTGACTCCGCCCCCCAAGACAGTCCGGTCGGTCCCGCCCCCAGGACGCCCCGCCCCGATCCGCGGTGAAATTGGCGCTGGCCCTTTAAGTGGGGATACTTCTACTCCCCGGCCGCCGGAAGGGGAAGTTTGCGCCTCAGAACGCTGCCTCGCTAGTCCGAATTCGGTGGCGCCACGTCCGCCGGTCTCCGCCTTCTGCACCGCGGCTTCGGCGGCTTCCGCCTCAACAACTTCCATTCGCGGGGCTGGCCGCGTTGTGTGGGGGCCGGCACTGAGAGTCGGGCAGCCGGGCGCATCCTGGCGACTGAGAGGCGAAGATGTCGGACATCGGGGACTGGTTCAGGAGCATCCCGGCCATCACACGCTATTGGTTTGCCGCCACCGTCGCTGTGCCCTTGGTCGGCAAACTCGGCCTTATCAGCCCGGCCTACCTCTTTCTCTGGCCCGAAGCCTTCCTTTATCGCTTCCAGGTACTGACCAGTGGCGGCGGCAGCGGAGACTACAGCCCCAGGCGGCCCCGCGGCGGCGGAGCGTAGGCCGGCATGCTGCGGGCGCGCGGAGCCTGGTGGGATTTGTAGTGCGCCGGGCGCTGGCGGTTTAGGGCGGGTCCGGTGGGCCAGTGTAGGCCGGGGGTCTGGAGCGAGGGCTCTGAATGGCTGAAGACTGGGGTTTGGCCTGGCGGGAAGGGACTGCCTTCGCTTGTGTATTGAGATTATGCTTCCCGCTCTCCGTACTTTAATGATTGTTCTCAGTCTCTTGAGCGCCTGCAATTATCAGCCTGGTCCTTCTGGAGCTGTGCTCACTGACTTCCTTGTCACCCACGTGGTTGGCCTGTGGGTGTCAACTTGACCAACTTCGAACTGAGTTCTTTTTATGTTAATGAGGGTTTGTTTTCTCCTTCTGTATGAGTGATGACTTAAGGTCATAGATAGGAAGAATGAGAGTATATATCTGCGTTTCCCTCAGGCCTTAATTTAGTATCTGGCATGTAGTAGTTTGTACGTGTAAAGGAATGGGTAAAGGGTAAATTGCTGCAGAAACAGAAGGCCTTATTTTCTTAAGCATGAAGGAAACAGTCCAGAGTGACATTTCTGGCAAGAGAATGTTAGTTTTCTGGAGATTATCTTTATTCACGAATCTTAATTTAAAACTTTAATCACTGGTGGGTCAGATACCAAGATTTGACATTAATTTGCACACAGGACTTGGCTTGTGGATAACACTCTCTTGTTTCTCCTCACCTCACTGGGTATTATTTCTTAGTTTCCTTTACTAGTTCCTTTTGTTCCTGACCTTTAAATGTTAGGATGTGCCCCAGAGATCAGTTATAGGACCTTTTCTCCCTGGCCCTAGGTGATCTCTTTCGACCTCAGGGCTTCAAATGCTTAGAATAAACTGAAGACTCTGAAATACAAATATAAATATTTTTCATCCAAATCTGTATCTAATATTTCAGGATTTTATATCTAGTGGTTACTTGAGATCACTTCTTGAATGACAAATAGTCATCTTCAATTTAATGTACTCAAAACCAAATCCCTTTTCCGTGATTGCCCTAAGAGTAATAGCAACTCCAGTACTGGAGGATTTCATGTTGTCATCATTGAGTTCTTTCTTTCTCACTCCACAATCTTAGCAAATCCTGGTTGACTCTACTTTATACATACCTGGAACATAATAATCCCTTCTCTTTCTCCATTGGAAGCCATTATCATTTCAACCTTGTTCCTTTTAATCTTCACTCTAGACAGCTAGAGTGATCCTTTTAAAACAAATCAAATCCTGTCCTCTGTTCAGAATCACAGATATTTTGTTAACTCTAATAAAATCCAAGTCCTTTCAGTGGGTGTGCAAGATCCCTAACTGCCTCTCTGACTTCATCTCCTATTGTTCTCCACCTTGTATGTTATACTCAACTGTGAGATCCTTGCTGTTACTTCAGTGCCTAAATGAATCCTTCCTTGGCCTTTGTACATACTGTTTCTAGGCCTGAGGAAGATAATCATGGCTCACTTACTTCCTTACATCTTTCAGGACTCTGCCTAGATGCTATCTTATTGGCAAGCCCTTTTCTGACGGTCCTACATGAAATAGTGCCTCCTTCACTTAACTCCCTTATCTTTTTTCTTGGTACAAATCACCTGTTGGTATTTGTTAGTTTGCTTTCCCCTCAGAGAATAAGACTCCGTGAGAGTCAAAGATCTTGTCTTGTTTACTATTGTCTTTGTTACCTAGAATATTGCCTGGCCTGTAGTAGGTGCTTATATTGGCTGAATGGTGGGAAATGATTAGTCCCTTACTATGTGCTGGGCACTGAAGGGCTACAGTAATGAATAGAACAGAAAAGACTTCATCTCCCATGAGGAACATAGAGAGGTATGTGATAGAGAGTGACTTAGGGGTGTAATATTTAATAGGATGTTCCAGAAAGACCTCAGAGAAGAGACATTTGAAGAAATCTGAATGGTGAGGAGCCAGCTGGCTTTGAGTAGATCTGGTTCTGGAGACAACCTTCCAAGAAGAAGGAATAGTAAACGAACGACTCAGAGGTTGGAACTAGGAGCAGAAATACTGGGTAGCTAGAACAGAATCAGCTGTTCTGAGGATTGGTGGATGAGGGAGGGCAGGGAGACCGCCAGGGATGAGTGTAATAAAGGGAAGATGGAAAGGTAGGTTGAGACTTAATCATACAGGCTCATACCAAGGGGTTTTGAACTTTATTTTGATGGCACTGTGAAGCCTTTGGAGCCTTTTGAACAAAGGACTGACAGATTGCCTGTTGTGGAGTGGATTTGGTGTGCATGTGTGAGGAGTGGAGGGAAGAAGCAATGGGATCAGAGAGGTGAATCCAGTTAGGTAAAAGAGATGGTGGTTTGGATCAGGGTGGCTGTGAAGATAGAGAAAAGTGGACAGATCCCGCAGTTGAATTGGATAGGATCACAGCTGATGAAGGGTGAATGGGTGAAGCATATGGGATTCAATATCACTATTTTCACTGGAGCAGCTGTGTGGTGGCGAAGCCCTTTACTGAGATTGGAAGTGTTTAGAGAGCTCAGGTTTGGGGTTATGGATGAAGAGTTATGTTTTGGCCATGTTAAGTCTTGAGATGCTTTTTAGGTATCCAAGTGAAGTTAAATAGACAATTGGATATAAGGATATAATTCTGGAGTGCAGTCAGACTGTATACTGTTCTCTGTTTACTTTAGTAAATATTTGTTGACTGAATGAACACAGTGTGCTTTCTTCCTCAGAGCTAGTTGGGTAATGTGTGTGCATGGGAGGGGGCAATCGTTGCATATTATTTTGTGAGAAGGACCTGGTTAAAACTGACTTGTTGGCCCGTTTTGCAGAATCTCACTGGTGTAGTCAGATTAGTAGAAGTAGTAATATAAAAAAGCTTTTCTTATAGACTTCAGGTGTACAATGATAAAAGTGGTGAACTGATTAGAGTCATTATTCATGTTACAGCTTACACAAATTTCCCCCATCTCCTTTGCATTGTTTCTTCTGGGCTTATTATCCTCAGACTGGGGGAAACTGCTGGCAGTAGGTAGGATAGTGCACTGACTCCCCGGGTATGGAAAGACCGACAGCTGTACCTTGTCTCTCCTTCCTGTTACTACAGATGGACTCTTGCCTTTTCTTGACAAGTTAAACTTTCATACCCTTCTGGGGGGACTCTTTTTGCAAATGGAGCAGTCCAGGAAACACTGCATGTAAGAATCTGCCGTGTAAGGATAGTGTGAGGTGTGCTTTAGCAGAGTTTCTCCTCTTTAGAAGCTGGATCTTAACAACTTAAAAAAAATTGGAGGATCATTGATCCGTGTGCACATGTTGGAAGGGACAAGGTATTTTTCCTGCTGATCCACAGGTTTCCTCAGTGTTCAGTCCTCTGTGTTCTGTTGGTTTGGAGCTCCAAAGTTTAAAATGTTATTTCTTTAGTTGGACAGGTCGAAACAGGTGTGTGTTAAGACACATTACAGTGTTTGTTGTTCATGACATCGCCCTATTCTGAGTCTCTCAGACCTACCAGTTCATAAGGATGAAAATTGTCTTCATATTGGTTTCTCATTAACTACAAGAGAGGTGGCAGTTTCCTGCTGCCCTAGTGTTACTCTGAGATTCTATCTCCCAGATACAATACTGCCTGCGTGGCAGTATTTCTTCATCTCTTTGGACAAAATTACATCACCCTCTTAAATCTGTGTTCTGCTTCCCTGTGTTATCTCATTCAACTCCCACAATTATTCTGAGATAAGTGTTACCCCCATTTATGTAGATAGTTTCAGTTTCTATTTTAGTTGTGTCAAAGAGAGTTTAAAGCTGTCTTCTTTAACTACTTTGCATAATATCTACCAAAAGAAAAAAAAGTTAGTGTTTAGCAACACATCTTTTGAGGATGATTTCTTGTAAATCAGCCATAGCAAATTATTTTTCCTTTTCTGTTAGAGTAGGAAAACTATAAGATTTCAAGTAATTCATGGTCTGAAGGCCTGGCTCAGCCCTCACTAGTCGGGTGCCCTTCTGTAAGCTGTTTATTATCCTATCTGAACCTCAAATTCTTTACCTAAAAATGGGGATATGAATTATTTTTCAGGTCATGTGAAAAAAATAACAACTAAGATAACATAATACAATTTAAAAAGAGAGGGACAGGATCTTGCTTTGTTGCTTAGGCTAGGTTTGAACTTCTAGGCTCAAGTGATCTTCCTGCTTCGGCTTCCCAAAGTGTGGAGATTAAAGGCACGAGCTACTGCACCAAGTCATTTTCTCTAATTTGATTCCAGGAATCAGACATGACACCAACCAAATCTGTAATTTAGCCTGGTACTTATATTTGCCAAGCTTTTGCTTATATTATCACATTTAACACCGTGACAGTAACCCTAGCAGATTAATTTAAGAGTGTACAGGCAGTCCCCAAGTTATAAACATCCGATTTGCATGCAATCATGCGTACTAATAGGGGCTATTACTGTAAGCCCTCAAGTATAAATATTGGACTGACATCCAACTTGTACTTATGAACAGAGGCTGTTACACGTAATAGGTAAATGTACTCGTTCCATCTTACAAATTGATTTTAAGAACAAATGTACAGAACCTATCTCGTTTGTAACCTGGGGACTGCCTGTATTAGGCAAGGGAGACATTTCACACATAATAGGAAGGTAATAAACTTGGTCTTTGTGGCAAATGTTTTGGTACACACAGTTTAAAATATTTCCTTAGTAGTCCTGTCCACATGAGACACTTCTGCTGTAGTTTGTGGGTAAGGCTGCCCATTAGACTATGGCTTTGTTTTTTAGCTTTTTATTGAGTTGCAGTATACGAGGAGGAATATGTATACATTATAAATTTAAAACTTGCTGAGTTTTCTGAAACTCAGTTCACATATATAACCAGCATCCAGATCAAGAAACAATATTATCAATATCCCCAAAGCCCTCCTGCTCCCTTCTGGTAACTC